TCGATGAGAGAGTATCATTGATCAGCTGCCTCCTGCACACCTCGCACCAGAGATGAGCTCGCAACCCTGGCATGTGCCCTTGACCAGCATCGAACCCGGGACCTTTCAGTCCACAGGCCAAAGCTGTATCCGCTGAGCCAAACCCAACACCTAAACCTTTTGCCACCAAGGACTCCCTCAGTCTTTGCCAATGCTAATGTCATCTGATGGAGCTGCCCAGAATCCATGTTACTGAGCCCCCCAAAGATGGAGCCAATGCTGGGACCCAAACCACAGTGGGCCTGGCCCAGCATATGAACACCCACACCCCCGATGGTTAGACGTAAATAAAATGGACAATGATGGGGATTGAACAAAGGTTTAATACAGTGCTACCCAAGGTGGTGCATGCCAAAAGAACCCCCTATTGACTCCCCAGGATTAAAGAGCCCCAAACAAGTCTGCTTTATTTATCCTGGTTTGGAACATTTTGAAAGCCAAGATTCAAAGATTATAATGAGAAATCTGACTTGCATTTGCTTCGAGCAATGGTTAAGGAGATGAATCAAGCTGAAGGCTGACATAGCCCATGGACACAGCCATAGGGTAGTGAAGACCTCAAGGGGTGGGCAGGGGCTGGGAGGAAGAGGGGAAGGCGGGAAATGGGAGATATCTGTAATACTATCAACAATAAAAACTATTTTTTTTAAAAAAGATGAAAGCTGACAAAAGGGCCTGTCAGAGTAGCTGGCGGCAGTGGCGGCTCTCGGAGCTGGGTTGTCAGTCAGTGAGCAGAGGGGGAAGATGGCTCGTCGGGACCGTTTTGCTAGGAAGAAGGGAGGCAGTGCTGCTACTGCCCAGGAAAAGGAAGAGCCGACGCCTTCGCTGTCGCTTCGAGCCAGAAGAGTGAAGTTCTGGGAGCCGCTCTGATTGAAGATTTAGAACAGATGTGGAAAGATGTTCACTTCAGAGAAGGGGGTTGTGGAGGAATGGTTGTCAGAGTTTAAGACACTACCAGAAGCATCTTTACCAAATTATGCCACAAATTTGAAAGATAAGAGTTCTTTAGTTTCATCTCTTTATAAAGTTAAGCTGAGAAAGTTCCTCAAGTGGCAAAAGATCTTTTCTTGCCCTTCCCAGCTGCCTCCAGAAGCAATCTTGGATGGTAAGGATGAAGCAGCTTGAGAATAAAAGCAATGTACTGAGGATAGTAGAGCAGAAAGATAGGAACCTGGACACCACCTGCCTACAGATTTATATAAAAAGGAAAAACTCCTATTTAGTTTAAATCACTGTTATCTTTGTTTTTTGGTTATATGTAGCAAATCTGATCTGAAATGATAGAGTATAAAGCAAAAGTATGAATGAAAAACGACCTCAAGTAGTAGCAAAAACTATTCAGTAGAAGAATTTCTAGCAGTTAAGGGTGCTGAAAGTAGGAAGAAGTTATCAAGAAACAGGGAATATATGGTCTTCTCAGGAGAAGTATTATGAGTATCAAAGAGACTTTTATTGAGAGAGGGGATGATAAGCACCCATAGAAGAATATCTATCTTCATGAGTAAGTGAGAGCAATTTATTTAAAAAGTAACAAACAGAGCTTTCTCACTTATATGGTTACTGAGATTTTCATTAAATTATGCCCTAAGGCTACTTGATTAAATCAGTAAAGGAGAACAAAGAAAAAAGAGGGGAGGTATGAAAGTGAGAGCAGATATTGAGGTTTTACTTCCTAGTTCTGATGGACTTCCATCTTTAAATATCGGTGTCAAAAAAAAAAAGTGTTCTTATTTAAAAAGTATCTTCCTTTATTCCATTTATGTCTTAAAATATTTGAGTAGAGAAAAGGGAAGGGAAGTAAAAAGATGACACAGATGTTGATTTTACAGTTTTCTTCCAAGTTCTGGTGGACTTCAGACTTCAAATGACTGTTCAAAGAAAAAAATATATACTCTCATTTTAAAGGAATCTCCTTTCATACGTAATATTTATTTTTTAAATACACTTATATAATCATAGATTACAATTAAAAGCATATGTTTGACACAGATGAAATTCAGGATCTCAGAAACACACACAGTGGATCATTTATTATACTTCGAAAAGATACTATGGCCGATGCTGAAAACCTAAGTGAAATCTGGGTGTTTGACCTCTTGTCTTCACATTTTGGGCAATGATGTAGCATGCTGGCTTTGGGGAGTGGGGGTGTTTGTATAAAGAATAAGGGCCTGCTACAGAAATCTTCCATATAGGATGGATCAGACAAGCCAAGGTCTGCGCATCAATACTGCACAACCTTTAGTTCACAACAGCTTAGAAAACTGAAAGATACATTTGAAAAGACCACGAACCCACATTGGGTTACCACAGCAGAACTTACTTCAGCTACTCTACTTGTTGGATCAGTAATAAAGACTTGGTTCAAGAACCAGCACAGCAGCCCTAGCTGGTTTGGCTCAGCAAATAGAGCATTGGACTGCGGACTTAAGGGTCCCAGGTTCGACTCTGGTCAAAGGCACATGCCCAGATTGCGGGCTCATCTCCAGTGCAGGGTGAGCAGGAGGCAGCCTATCAATGATTCTCTCCCATCATTGATGTTTCTATCTCTCCCTCTCCATTCCTCTCTAAAATCAATATTTAAAATAAAAACCCAAAAGAACCAGCACAGCAAAAGGAAGAAGCAGTAGCTACAAACTTGCCAAGTCTGTCACTAGAAGCACAGAACCAAATAATTTCAGCGAAAGAGGCAGAAACCAACATACGCATTACTTCACAAACACCATGAGTACCAGCATTGTGAATGCCTGTGACCAGGAACCACCTAAGACTTCTAGTATCGAGAACAATGGAGGGGCTTGTGCCTCTGTTTTTCTGTCCGCCAGAAAAAAAATGATTAACTGCTGCTTACTGATGAAAATAGCTCTGAGAGAGCTATGGAGTACATGCAGGAGGTACAGCAGCCCAGTGGAGCACAGAAATCAAAGATGGCCACATAGAAAAGCACAGCAGCATTTGACCTTTGTCAACCTATCCCCCAGTCCTGCAGAGCTTGCTGCCAAAAGGGATGGGATGCCCTCAGCTCTGACCTCTCCCCTTTGGAGGAAAAGGAGACCCCAGCAGCTTTCATCACCAAGGCCCCAAGCAGCCCTCGTGGCTGTCAGGGACACCTAAAGCTTTTTAATAATATATATATATATATTTTATTGATTCCAGAGAGGAAGGGAAAGGGAGAGACAGATAAAAACATCAACGCTGAGAGAGAATCATTGACCGGCTGCCTCTTGCACACCCCGCAGCAGAGATGAGCCCGCAACCCCGGCATGTGCCCGTGACCAGCATCGAACCAGGGACCTTTCAGTCCACAGGCCAAGGCTGTATCCACTGAGCGAAACCCAACACCTAAAGCTTTGCCACTAAGGATTCCCTCAGTCGTTGCCTCTGCTAATGTCATCTGATAGAGCTGCCCAAAATCCATGCTACTCAACACCCCAAAGAAGGAGCCAATGCTGGGACCAAAACCACAGTGGTCCTGGCCCAGCATATGAACACCCACACCCCCGATGGTTAGACGTAAATAAAATGGACAATGATGGGGATTGAACAAAGGTTTAATACAGTGCTACCCAAGGTGGTGCATGCCAAAAGAACCCCCTATTGACTCCCCAGGATTAAAGAGCCCCAAACAAGTCTGCTTTATTTATCCTGGTTTGGAACATTTTGAAAGCCAAGATTCAAAGATTATAATGAGAAATCTGACTTGCATTTGCTTCGAGCAATGGTTAAGGAGATGAATCAAGCTGAAGGCTGACATAGCCCATGGACACAGCAATAGGGTAGTGAAGACCTCAAGGGGTGGGCAGGGGCTGGGAGGAAGAGGGGAAGGCGGGAAATGGGAGATATCTGTAATACTATCAACAATAAAAATATTTTTTAAAAAAGATGAAAGCTGACAAAAGGACCAGGTTCCCTTGCCTCAACCACTCATTGGGGATTCAAAGTCTTTACACCAGAGTGGGTAAAACGGTCAGGAGGTAGAGAAGATAAATTTCTGGACTCATTGACCTGGGAGCTTCACAAACTGTGGTACCAAAATCCACTGGCGAAGCGCTGGTGTGGACAACAATTAGATTGATAGAACATGAAGGTTGTTCTCCCAAGGGAAGGATCGATGGGATGATGAGCCTCGGAATGTTTAGACAGGCTTATGCAAATAACTTGTGTCTCCTTTACCTGAATGTCTTATGGGCATGGATACTCTGGCTGGGCAATGCTTACCCTACCACATGTTGTAAAACCAAAACTGTGTCAGAATGGAGGCTACAGTTAAGAAAAAAATTAAAATTAAAATTAAAAACATGTTCTCTGATAATATCAATAAATGATTAGAAAGATAAATAATGTTCAAATAAATCACTTTACCATAAATATGCCTATCAAATTATATAGCTTTTGAAATATACAGATTCATAAAAACTTCATAGGCCTTCTGAAATGTAAGGTGCTGTAGTTACACAAATATATAGAAAATAGCAAAGATAGTAATAATTTGAAATCATACTTGCAATAAATGTGGATTTCAATTTATTTCCTTAATCAAAAAAATAAGCAAACAAAATTATAAACATGGCTTGAACTTTGATTCTCCACCAGGTGCTGATGGAGAAATTTCTTGTTGTAATTTTTTTTGTTCCATCTGCTGTATGACCTGGGGAATGAAAAATAATGTTTTAAAAGGAAGTAGTACTTGATTTTCTCTGATATGTGTGACCTTTAACAAATCACAACTAACTGAAAATTATTTTCCAAAATGAAATAGTCAAATTCTAAAATTTAGATTAATATTCAACAAAGCAGTTTTTAAAACACCAACATTTAAAATACTATAGCTAATAGTGGTTTGGCTCAGTGGATAGAGCATCGGCCTGCGGACTGAAGGGTCCCAGGTTCGATTCCGGTCAAGGGCATGTACCTGGGTTGCGGGCACATCCCCGATGGGAGATGTGCAGGAGGCGGCTGATCGATGTTTCTCTCTCATCGATGTTTCTAACTCTCTATCTCTCTCCCTTCCTCTCTGTAAAAAATCAATAAAATATATTAAAAAAAATACTATAGCTAATAGTGCATTGAAACATTATTATAACACAGGCTTTTAGCAAAGGGCCTAAAATCCTTCTTAATGCCACAATCCTTTCACAAAATACCACCTGATGATATTCCAGCTTCTGAGCCTTGAGTTGGTCATGCTGACGCTGTTGTTCTTCTTTTTGTTTCTGAAGTCTACCTGCTTTTTTCTTAAGTTCATTTTCTTGTAAGGAGATAAGATTTTCATATTCTTTCGGTTCTTCCTCTGTGAAAACTGTTGGCTGATCTAATGTCTAAAGAAAAAAACGAAGAAAGAGTAATCTTAGAAATGCAACCATAAGATCTGATTCAGCTGTAAAATTGTATGATTAGCAAAGTACAATAGAATATAGTATTATACCTTTGGGGTAAAAAAAGAAAAGGAATTAAGAAAAAATATATTTATGTACTCTGAATAAAAGGAACACCTAAAGACTAATGAGATTGTTTACCTACAGAACGAGGGAGAAACTGAGTGGAAAGGACAAAGGGAGTGAAGGCAAGGAAATCATACTCCTCTGAATACACATTTTGTACAGAATTGCTTTTCTGAAACATTCAATGTGTTACACACTCAAAAAAACACCACAAATAACTAAAATCCACAAGGACAGAAAAATCCCGCAAATTGAATAGAAACAGAAACAAATAAATAATACTTTTATTTTAACTGAATAAAATAACTGACAGAAGGGAGAAGGGTAAAAAAGAACTAACCCAAGAAACTTCTGAACACATTATCTGGACTACATGCACTCAAGTTAAAAACAACCCAAAACTCTAAACAAGTCTTCGTCTTGTTTTGCAGAGGCATGGATTAGCAATTCTAAAATGCTTTCAATATGCTAGGACTGAGCAAATAAGTGGAAAATTGTTCTGGAACAGAAACAAATAAATAATACAACTGGGAGCCAGGTTTTGTATGAAATACAGAAAAAAAACATAAAATGTATTGGAATTGAAGGTGTTGTATTAAAATTTAAGAGGATAGTGTGAACTCATGAGTTGTAATATATTTGACAGTGAAATATACACAATGAATATAAATGTGTGTAGTGTCTATATATGTGTGTGCAAGTATGTGTGTATATATGTATATATTCATAATATAAATAAATAAAAATGTATTTAAAATTTTAAAAAAATTCCCAGCTCTATTATCCGACCAGGATTTGCTTTAAAGCAAGGATAATTCCGTAGAAAGAAAGTCCTCAAAGAATGATGGGAACATACCAGAAGGCCACAAAAACCTGTTTGAGGAAACTCCCACTATCCAAGTGTGGAAATAAATACAGGCAGTCCTCGGCTTACGTCGGACTCGACGTATGTCCTTTCATGGTTACATCCCCATCTCCCACTCATTTATAAAGAAAAAAAGAAAAGTTCTGTCATTTCGACGTATGTACATATTTGCTTTATGTTTCTTATTATTTATTTACCACAAGTAAAGGTCAGGAATTGTTATCTTTCTTTTAAATTTTTTTTACTGTTTCACTTCATTACTGCTGTGTATGTGTGTGCTCCATGTGAGTGACGTAGGTGCTTAT